TATATCGTCCTATCAACTTGCCTCGTTTTAGATTCAAAGTTAGAGAATTTCCTGACAAAGTTTCTCTTTATCGCTTTCGTTCTACATGGTTGGCAGCAGGCGAGTGAAACCAAGTGGCGATGTCTTCCAATTAAGAAAATTATGTCTCCACTTCGACATAATTATTCGCTTCGTAGTTGGATAAACACGATGAAAGAGTGCCAATCACATTCCACGAGACATTTTGTTACGTTTCGTTGAAGATAGAAGAGAGAAGAGAGTCGAGAGTCGAGAAATTTGAGTATTTCAGCGTGTGAAATATTCCTGATAAACTAAGATTAAAACTTTGAATTATGTAAAGCGATAGAAAAATGTAAAAAAAAAAAAAAAAAAAAAAAAATTAGAGAAAATTGATAGATTTAACGGATGCGTTAAAAAAAGTCTTTTTTTTTTTTTATTGAAAATTCGAGAAAAAAAGAAAGATCTATTAATAATCTGATGCTGGTAAAGGACAGAGTATTCGCAGAGAAAAAACAAAACCTTGGCTTTTATTAAGCTTCATGAGTGGTATTGGAGAGCCTTTAATCGTCTTTATGCGTTCGTGAATTTTTAGTTTAAAAGCGGAGTTTGATGAATATCGCTTTTTCAATAGATTCTATATGTGAATTAATAATGTGGACGTGGCATGAAATATGTGAAAAAAAATGTTTCGAATGATAATTTAAAGAACAGATGTGAATCGTCAGTTTATTAAAGAGGAAAGAATAAATAAAAATATTATAATTGAATAAATGAAAAGTATTTATAAAAGAAATTATATTATTAAATTGATAATTCTGTAATATATTTATGTTATGATACAAAATATTATTAAAAATATTACTAAAAAATATTAAATTAAGGCGTGAAAATCTTTGTATTTTATCACGTTAAATGAATTTAAAATTTATATGTATAAATATAAATATGAATAATTATATATACGAATACTAAATTTTTGCATTCAAAAAAATATTATTTATTTTATTATCTAAATATAAATTTGAAGAATGATAAAACGAATTATAAAAACACTAATAAAGATACTTATTTATCGTAAAATAAAATCGATATTTAAAATCATAATTTTTTTAATAAATCTCAATCTAATTTTTATTATCAAATCAAAAAAAACATTAAATTTTCGTTTATTTTAAAGTTGAATAAAGAGATTTCAATTTTCTTTAAATCTATCGTGGATTCACTCGAGAAAAAAATTGTTCAAATATCTTTACAATCGATCGAATTATTCAAATTTTTGAAAAGAAAAGTATCTATCAAAGAAAAAAACCAAGAATAGAAAGTAAAACTTTCACGAGTTCAGATTAATTTTAATTTTGATTGATTTATTTTTCTTTTTTTTAAATTTTCACAATTTAAAATATCGAATAAAACTTTTCATCGAATATAGGACTTTAATTACACTTATTACGCACGTGTAAAATACTTTCAATTATTCGAGGGTGCGAACGTTCCAAAACGATCGACACGATGATTCACGTAAAACAATCTCGTTGTACCTTATTAAATTCTAATTATCGGTATCTCTCTCTCTCTCTCTCTCTCTCTCTCTCTCTCTCTCTCTCTCTCTCTCTCTCTCTCTCTCTCATTTATGAAAAGGGAACGAGACGCGAAATGAAAGGAAACATCGACATTCCGGCAATCTTATTAAAGGAATTCACGGCAATGAAAGCACGGATAATGGAACATGGGGGGACGATGTAGTTCGGGACAATTGCGGGGAGCAATTAATCCTGTCCACGACTCGGATAACTTGAATGCAACTTCTGCCCTGCCACCTGTCTCTTTCTCGACCTGTCTCCTTTTTTACGCGCAACCTGGAACGTGATAATCCCTTTGTGGGGATACGTGTATGCGTATAATAAAGGCTCGGTTAAAACAGGGATCTTGGAAAAGAAAAAAAGAAAAAAGAAAATCTTCTTTCATCGATGAAATGAAAAGAAAATCGAGATTGGGATCTGTTGGAAGGATATCTCTGACAAGTAATAATGTTCGTTTCCAAAATTTTGGAAAATGAAGAAAACTGAGATTCTCTCTCTCTCTCTCTCTCTCTCTCTCTCTGGCTTTCTAGATTTGTTTTATAAAAAATACAAAATGGAACGAGTAAAGTAATAATTTTAGTGAAAGATAAAAGTTGAATAATTTCGAATGAAAAATAAAAAAACACAATTTAATTAATTTCTTGAAACAAATCAACAAGTGTTACATCATAATTATAATAAATACGATTCCTAGCTAGATTGAACGAATATATACACAACGCACATTTTTAAATAGCATTACAATACTCTTATTTATCGAAATAACGATTCATACCAACAGAATTTCATCAGAATCGAAATTCGAATGCAAAAATCTATATATTTTAAAGAACACTTTTTATCAACATCAAACTTATCTTTAGCTCTTATATACCAGATGCAAAACGCATCGTATATTTCTATATGTTACGGTCCCTCTTAGTACGTCGCATTAAAGTTCACCATTTCCGCCATTTTGTCGCACGTCTCTTCTTCCTCTTCTTCTTCTTCTTCTTGAACGAGTTCCTCGTGCCTCGTCATCGTACAAGTGGATACGCCGCGAATGCAACAGCGTCTGGGAATCTTGGTCGAACGAGGGAATCGCAACTTTTTTTCAAAGTGCGTTCCACGACGGGTATTTAAGTGACACGCTCTATCCACGGGGAGGAGAGATTCCTTCTGGTTTAACGCAGGGAATCCAAGCGCATCGGGAGAAATCGCGCTGCACCGAGCGCGCTTTCCAATGGAAATTCAATCCCACGAGCACCAGCTGGGGAATAGTTCCCAGGCACAGAGTTTTTGCCTTTTAAACCGGCATTCTTGAGACTCTAGGATTAATCCTTTTGCTACTCCGCGCTGCTATTCAACCGTAATCTTCATTCCAGATTATAAGCAATGTTTGAAATTTATGCTTGCGTAGAATAGAGCTCTTAAAGTCACGTTTAAATTATCACGATTTCTTTGGAATTCTCTAAAAGGTTCCACTTATTTTTATTTATAAATTTATTTTTATTTTTGTTTTATTGTTTTATTTTTATTTTTTTGTTTTTAAATTTATTATTATTTTTATTTATAAATTATTGACCAATTATCAAATGTGTGTTTAGAGATTGTATATTAGGTAATATTTAAAGAGTTGTACGTTATTCGGTTTATATAAAAATCGATATGTATCCGATATAAAATCTTCTGAGCGATGTTATTATGCAGTTTTAGCGTTTATTCATTGCTCTAATTAAATTCTCAGAAGAAATATATATATTATTTCAATATCATTATTTTAATTTCATTATTATTAATTTTAATAATTTTAATATCATTATTTTACTATTCAATATTATATTTTATAGTTATTACTAAAGTATAATAATAATATATATAGTAAGAACATTTCATGTTCTTGAGAAAATATTTATTACATCCTCATAGAATATATGTATATATCTACATTTCTACGTTTCGTGGAGATACGTCACGATATTCACCTATATTCACAATGATAAATATATATTATAAAAATATGATACAAATTTTTCTCAAAAGTTTGATCTGGAAAGCAAGGATAAGCAACAAGACAAAAAACGAAAACGCAGATTTTCACTAGAGCCAGAAGAGAAACATACATAGCGGTAAATTGTAAAACATCTGAACGAAACGTGTTCGAAAAAAAAATAATTTAAAAATTTGATTTAAAAAAAAAAAAAGTAAACGGAATCACGAGGAATTCATTAAAAGTGAATATTGTTTTTGTGAACGAGAAAAAGAAAGAGGTGGACGGGAAAGTAGAGAATAATTAACGATCGATCACATTGAAATTTGTCGATAACCCGTGTTCCTGTAGTTGATTGAACGAAAACCATCAGGAACGCCTAAATGTTTCTATTTCCTTGCCGAGGTAAATTGTTGTGCACGAGGCGGTTTCTATGTCGCGTTGAATCATACCGCGCGCTAAAATTAGATGCGGTTCGAGCGGTTTAACTGCGGTTCGCGCTGTGGATGGAAAATATGTCTCACCTGAACGAGCAGTTGGCGTGGTTAAGATGTTAATACGGTTCGATTAGATAAAAATAATTCTCCTCCCTTGGAGGAGATGGAATATTCTTATGAAAGAGTATTTTTAGAGGCGAATAATAATAAATTTCGATAAAGAATCGATCCCCCTTTTTATTTTTAATGTCTATGGATATATTTTGCTTCTGGAGTTCATTATTCGAAATATGCAATTTATACAATTTCTTTTAATTCATATTTTTTATTTTCTTATTAGAAAAATACTGATCATAAGGTAAATAAATAAAATAAATATAATAATATGAATTAAATAGAAATTAGAAACTTTCATGAAATAAAATGTATAATATAATTTATCACAATTTGCAAGATGTATATTGACCATTTTGCAAATCACTGAATAAAGATTTTATATGAAATCAGAGATCTATATAATAATTATACAATACAAAAGAATAGTAAATTATATATTAAAACATTAAAATAAGATTCATTACCTATATATAGATGTTTATATACTCGTAAGATATTTTTAAAGAATCAATTCTAAAAGTCAAAATAAATAATAAAGAAATTAATACACACAATTTAATTTTATAGAATTAGATCTCCCTCATATATTTGATTCCATTTCATCTAAATTAAATTTAAATTATTTATAATTGAATAACAATCTTTCTGTTTATTTACTTCATAAGAATTAAAAATTAATCCTCAAAAAATATCAACATCCAATACTTAATATAAATCATACGTACAATTCATTCCAAATCTGATCTACCAAAAATCTGTTACATTCCCTCTCCATACATTCCTTGTGTACTATAATTAAAAATACCACTCGTGAAATAACGTGAACGTTTCGAGGAAAGTCCAAATTGAAAGCCACGTAATATGAGAAAATAATAATGTCTTTGAACTGTCTTGTAGGCGAGGAGGCATCGACATCCCCCAAAGGGGCATGGTCATCGGGGAACAAAGAAATCTTTGCAAGGGCAAAGAAAAGAGGCTCCTTCCTTAAATTCCATTCCGATCGATTGGCCACAATTACAACGAAGGGGCCAACCAAACTCAAACCGATATTTATCATGGCCGGCGAACGAATAATATCACGAGCAAGCAGCACAGGAAACGACTGGACTAGAGCCTCGTTGCATCAATTACGGATATCCATTAGCTTAATTAAGCTCCGTGACACCCGTGTAGAGAGGCACGGTCAAAGCGAAGAGAAACGATGGAAAAGGGGTGATGACCGCTAGAAAGGGGTAAAGGAGAAAAATGCATTTTCGATTATCGCATTCGCAACAGTGAGAGACGATTCAACGCCACTTTAGCGATGTTTTAAAACGTAAATAAAGTATTTGCGCTTCTTAAATGTTTTTGCCTATCTCTTTCTAATATATTCGTGTATGATTTAATATTTTTATCGTTGGTAAATATAAATTGTTTTTTCGATAGTGGAAATAAAATAAAAATAAAAATACAATGAAAATAAGAAAGAAGTTAATGACTCGGTTTCAAAAAAGTTACTGTGTTAAATTGTAAATTTTTGTACTTTTTTACCATACCATTTCTTCATTTAATAATATTTTTATTTAAAAAGTGTATTATTCTTGAAATCCTGAAGTTTGTTGAATATATTTTTCACAATATACAGGACGAAAATTTGAAAAATTATTTTCGAAAGAATTAAATTTCGAACGAATTAATAATCGAAATTTATTACAATTTTATTATTTCGTGCGAATGATCGATACAAATATCTTACACTGGACGAAAAAGGCAGCCTCGAAAAAAACTTTTGACAAAAGCAAAGTACAAGCTCTCTCGGTCGGTCTTATGGGAAATTACACGATGAGCTTTGCGGATTACGGTAACCTCGTCTCGGTAACCCATCTCCGTTCCCGGGGCTTCCTCGCCCTTCAGCGCGTGAAACTCCTTCCCTTTATCTCCACCCACCCACACACCCCTTCTCAACCTACTCTACTATCCATCCAGTTCTATCATCTCTTAACGCCTGCCACGTTAAGCGTATTCGAAAGGTATTGATGCGACGCTTAAGCAAACGTGATCGTGATAGGAAGAGACAAAGAGAGAGAGAGGGGGGAGAGAATGGGAGATGATAAATTTGAAGATCAAGTCGAGACGATAGCTATCTCAAATTGGTTGTCTAATACGAGGTAGGGTTTGGTTTCAACTGTAATCGTTGAAGGAATAAATATTTCTTCCTTCTGGAAAAATTGGATTAATAAAAGGGAGTAAATATTTAAATATATGTATATATACATGTACATGTAGCAATGGTTATGATAATTTTGTTCTTGATATATCTTTTTTTCTTAAACGATGATCTGATATAAAGAAATAATTGTTATTATCCTATTATTATTGCTGCAAAAATATGTAGATATAAAAATATGTACCTGGCCTTTTTATCACGAAAACAAATGGAAAATTTAAAAAAATCTTTTCAAATATTTGCTTTCTATTTTCTCGCCCATTTATGATATAAAAATCAGAAAGGAATATCGTCAATGAACACGTTTAAAACATACAATATTTGCGAACAAATCAAGATTTATCGATAAACTAATTTTTTTTTCAAAAAATTATCAAAATGAAAGATATAATAATGAAAGATATAATAATTGCAACAGTATCATTGATATACATTCTAATTAATTAATTAATTTTCGACGTGTAGAAAGAACAATCAATTTCCACGAATATCGGCGAAATTCTATTTTCTCATAGCGAATCTTCAACCGATGGCACTTGATTAAACGTACTTTCTGCTCGGAAACGAAGCCGAGAGTCGAGTAGTTTGAACATCTCCGATGCTTAACCTCAGTCATTTCAAGCATCCTGCATCCTAGTAGCATTGTCCTCGTAGAGCATCGATCGATGAGAGTCGGTCAGCACAACATACATTTTGAGAGTCGGATGTTTGATCGAGATAAATGCACCACTTTGCCACCACCGAAATCAAAATATCGAGGGAAACGATTTGACCCTCGCACTTTCCACGAATAATTGTTGCAATTTTAAAACGCGAATGATAATAATATTGGCGCATTATGTTCGCCTCGATAATAGAAAAATACCCGTTGCTCTCGATCGATCGAACGAGCGAGGAAGATTTCGATTTCATTAATGAAAATAACGTTCGATATTTTCGTATGAAATGACGTAAATAAGCTATAAATAAAATTAAACAAAATTCTATACGTACGAATTTAATTCATCCTGTTAAAAAATCTTCATATACGATATAAAATATTCGACAATTTAAAGAACACTATAGGAATAATATGAAAAAACAAATAATTTAAATATACTTCGTGTAACAGATTATGCAATATATCGATTAAGAACTAAAGAAATTTAAATAGAACAATTTTAACATCGTCATCAATATAACTCCTCGAAAGAAGATTTCCAATTTTTATTCAATCAATCTTCAAATATTAATAGAAATCCAACTGTAATTAATTCTAATTAAACAACAATAACAATATTCCTATGAATACTCATACGTAGAAACTGGGAAATTGGGACGAAAATCAAGCCAGCTGATCCCCTCCGAGTCGTCGACGCATCAATCGGAGGAAAAGGAAAGGAGGAAGAGATCATCCCTTTCAAACGCAATTACAACCGATGGTACACGATAGTACACCCCCTCTTCGACGAAACTTGAAACGACGAAATGATCCCCCATTAAACCTTCTTTCGCACCGACTATCCTCGATATTTAACCCTGCCCAATTCCAGCCGCCCTGCACACTGGGAGGGGGATGTTTTCGCAATCTAGGGCGTGGCGGGGGTCGAGGGGAAACGGGAGAGCAAAACAGAAAAGGAGAAACGGGAAAAACAAATAGAGAAGGGGTGGAGGAGGGAAAAGGAGAAGGCAGAGCGTGTTGGATATAGGGTCCTCGCTCCTTCCTCGAATTCGATCTGTGGTCTAAGCCCTTAATACCTGCTTATTCGCTCGCCTGGAAGAGGATCCCGAAGAGGTATCTAAACTTTTCGAATGTTCCTCCTGAAGAGAGCTAAACGGCGAACGATTTCGTAGCTGCGAAGGCGGAGGGAATACTTCTTTTGATCCATTGACTAAGTCACGGCAATCGTCCGAGAGTCGACGGTACATTTTTCCCGGGGATTCTACTTAGGGAGGCGGCTACTGTATATTGGCGTCTCTGTTTGAAGTGTGCGCCCGGCTGAAAACGTAAGTAAAGTGGATCCTTGTTTGACCGAATTTCGAACACTGGAAGGAACTAATTCGGAATGATCCCCGCCCGATTTTATCGTATTTCGAGGGGATTGTAAAGAGATGGAAATAAACGAGAGGCGAATACAAGATCTTGAAATAATGTTCCTTTTCTTTCGTTATTTGTTTGTGTTATATCTTCAAGATGAAATTATTTTAGAGGTAAAGAGAAAAAATTCTGTGAAAAAGATGTATTTATTATAGTCATTTGACGATTACATCGAGCGTGAAAGGATTAAATAAATGTTTGTACAGTTAGTTTAATGTTTTTATTCGTACCTATTCTTTGCAGATAAAAAAAAAAGAATATCTCATATTTCTATGCCTTTTCTTTTACAAAGTATCCCAAAAATAAGAGATCAAGAGAGTTTAATTGCAGATTCGTGAGGTAATTTCAACTTTTTCCTTTGTAAAAATATTCGTTTCGTAACGAGTTATTAACAAAGAAAAAGCAGCAATCATGCCAAGTAGTGTTGGGTATGAATCAACGAATACATCGAATATATTCAAACAAAATTATATTAAATTATATTTCATGTGTAAATTTACTATCCATGTACGAATAAATTTACGAATTTACTTGTTATTTAAAATGAATAATGAATAAATTGTGATTCAAACATACGTTGTTCGTTCGATAAATACAAAAAAATAATATCAAAAAAATAATCTCTTCTCTATCCATTTTTTTTTATCCTCGATATCAATTATTCTCGAAAAAACGAACGTGTTTCGTCGAAAAACGATTTTCGCAATTTTTAAGCATATATCCATACGTATATCCGAAATGACGTATTCCAAACACTGTTCAAACTTCGACACACGCGCGCAAACAAGAATTACGCTTTTCGAAGATCGGGACGGAATGCTAGTTTCGCTTTGTTTGCCGATCATTACGTAGCGATAGATCAAATTTGACACGATATCCATCCCGTATAAATGTCAAAATAATGCATACGTAAGCTGATTACTCTCGAAAAGAAGATTACAGTTTGTCTGTTTATTTGCACTAACGTTCATTCTCCCTCTACAATTTTCCGTTGACGCGACGTAACTGTTTTTATCTCGCTTTTTTTTTTTTTTTTACAATCGTGCACCGCAACACTCGCGGATTTTTCATTACAACGAAGGTTAAAAACGTTAAAAAACGTCCCACGATGCACACAACGAGTTCACGAGCGTATTCGTTTATCTACTGTCACGATAATGCGACCATAACATTAAGCGATGTTACATGTTGCGGGGGGGAAAAAAAATAAAATATTTCACGAGCATTTAACGTCATACATTTCGTCCGATGAAACAAATAAAATCATGTTTATTTTCGTTGGATGAAAATGAAAATAATAATAATAATAAATATAATTAACAAATAATAACGAATCTTTTAATTAAATACGAATGTCTTTGGCCATCAATTGTTTGTTATTATAGCAAATTTTTGTTTAAAATTGCTTTCGAAATTGTAATTTTCCATATCCATAGTTTCAAAAAGAAAGATTGGCAATCGAATATTTTGGATGTAATTCTGGAATTTATTTTTATTTTTTTAAAAAAGTCTAATTTAATATTTGTTGACCTACACACAGAATATCTTTCAGGCTACGTTTCTCTAATTAATATTTAATTATCCATTTCAATTAAGCATAACTTTAAACAATATAACAATACCTTATAATATCTTAAAATGATATAAAAAAAATAATCGTCTTTCGGGCTCGATAAATTCATCCCTTAAGAGGTTAGACGCAAAAGGGTTAACGGGCACCAACACACCAAATTCACTCGAACGATTTGAATTTATCCCATCAGGACAGAGAGTGAACAAACGAAGGAGGACACGAATTTATCGTCTTCGACATAGTTCGAATACCCGAACGAAAATTATCGTTATCTTCGATCCACAGCGACGATCGCCCACCCCCTCCCTTCCCAAAACTCTCGAACAGCTATCAAACCTTATCACGTTAATTAAGACGAAACAATCAACATCCCCTTAGAACTTGGCTCTAACCCCTAATCGTTACACGCATCCACCGCGTCTCTAACCGCGATGCCAAAGCGACCACTTGTGAGCACAAGAAAAGACTCCTCCGTAGTCGCGCTCC